ATTCGAGGTCATTCCAGTGTTTACGAACACTTTAGTAATCAAAACAAGGATGCTTGAATCTTAAATAGTACTTATTATAAGGGTAAGAAACTTGATGCTGAGTTTCAAAGCATGTTAACCAAACTGTCAAGATTTTTGACAGATCACCATGCGGATCAAAACCTGATGCAGGGTTCCAGTAGTTACACAGAATCAGAACTTAAAATGAATTTCCGCTTATAGTTGAAGGAACAAATGTCTCTCAAGCAAAGTGAAGTCGTATATAAGCAAGGAGGCAGGAAAACATGTATATAAGCAAGGAGTTTGATATCCAAATTTCTTTTGAGTTAATCTAGTTCTGCTAAGAAATTGTTGGGCTTGAATCAACACTAACTAAGAAGGCCCACTGGTTACTGATATAGACCAGCACCAGCCAATCCCACCCACCTCAGTGGGCTGACTGGCTCAGTCCCCACACACTAATAATAATTTTCGGAATCTGTACTTCTTTTCTATTCGCAGCAAAATATCGTGAAATACTAGTTCAAAATTCAAATCAATGCATGCTTTATTTTAGTAAGCTATAGAAGGACTTGTAGTTTAGTGCAAGGACTGATTGCAAAATGTCGATACCATGGCATTGGCCATGCTTTATAATTGAAAAACATGTGTAATGTAATGAGCATGACACCGAACAGGGAGCCGATGGTTTTTATTTATATTTACTTTTTTATTGAAGCTTTGTTTTTTCAATCTTTCGAGAGGACAAACAAACTTGAGACCTCTTCTACCACTTATAGAGACTTTGTGTATACGCAAACTTCTTCGAAAGACATAAAAAAAGTTTTGTCGTCATAACATTTCTTGGAATATTTTTGTCATAACCTATTTCTTATGAGTTATTTTGGTTTTCCATTTTAGTGCGAATCTTCTGAATTATTTTACCATCTAGAGCATTATAATGATAGCATTTTAAGGCCTTTTTTTTTCCAGCCAAGAAATTGATTAGATAGGATTTTGAAAAAGAAAAGAAAAGAAACTTTACAACAAGAGAAAAAAAAAAGTGAAAGAAAGTGGAGCCAAATCCAAAAACTGGAGCCTACTTTAGAACACGCGACCCTCGCAGTGATGTACGTTAGCAGAGAGCTTATGTGGGGCAATGATATCATGTTCTTAACGTGGGTCTCTTTGAATTTTTGCACTTTTTTTCTCTCTCTTTTGCCTTTGTTCTTATCCATGAGACAGGTTTCATTGGCTTGGCTCATAAGTAGTGCCGTTTTCTGATTGTTCTCCTTCTCCTCGTATTATTTTATATAATAATTACATGCACATGATGTTCTTGTTGTTACAACCTCATCCACCCACATCTCTTATCACCAATTCCAATTTTCCATGTCTATGTAGTGTTAACTATGGTTAGTATGTTAACCATGATTAGCAAGTCAATAAGTTTGTTACAAGTCTGGTACCTAGCACGTGTATTAGTTAGACAGTTAAGCTCCTCTGTAATCTATTTACATACGAGTGGGCTATGCTTTGTAAAAGTTAGTTGATTGAAATAAAAACTCAGAAATCCTCTAGTCTTCTCCATTTCTCTTTCTCTGTTTTCTCTGAAATTCTCCTTCTCTTTCCTTTCTGTAATCATGTAGTAGCTCACTCACATTTTATGGCTTTCTGGCTAGTGGGGTGAATTGTAAACATATATAATTATATATTTCTACGTTTTCAGAATTTACTTTAATTTCCTATATTAGAGAGAGTGAGTCACGAGAGTTTTATTCTTATTTTGAAAATAAGTGTATTACGGATTTTCTTGACCAGAACCCAAAAATAAAAATTAAGGGAAATCAATAAAATCTAGTCCAGTGAAAAATAACACTGACTTGCATATCAATTGTCTCATATTCGAATACCTTGACAGTGTGTGTGTGTGTGAGAAACCCTTCAACTTGTGTAGTTTGGATTATCGCATATTTTCGAAAAAGGAAACCAAAGAAAAGATGGTTGTTACAAAGTAAAATTGTATTTCTTGGAATGTCTTTACGTGCACATATGAAATTAGTTGGGACTCTTTTTCTTCCTCCTACCGTTTAAGCCACAAAAGAGAGAGCACTTTATGATTTCTTACAAACTCTGCCGAACTAGAAGACTTGAAATGTTTCAATTAAGTTGACTATTTGTTACATAGTGATTAGGTACCCAATCTTTCTCGTAATACCTGAACTCAATTATAAAATCCAGCAAAAGCGATTTGGAAATTAATATAATTATAACTCGATAAATAATATGATGTTTTTGTGACAGTCATTACCACACAAAACGAGTGATATGTAGGGCATCTTTTAATTCTTATAAATCAGGTGACAACAAATAATTTAAATTCCATACTTTATTATATTTGGGTCGGATAACCTTCGCAATTTAGGTTGATTTTTCCCTTAATGCATTTCGTGCACATGCATTTTCCGGTCATTATGGCTGGCTTCCATGAATCTCAAGTGTAAAAACTTAAACGGTTTCCTATATGGTAAATAATTAAGACCCATATATAAGGCATAAAATATTTCAATGGCAAATGGTGTATATTATCTTCCAACCAAACCTCACAACTTAGATTTTTATTTTTATTTTTACGCTATAAGGAGAGAGGGGTTTTTCACACATACATTATAACGGTGTCATTGAGATTCTAACCGAAAACCACTGCAAGTCAATGCCCTTTTTTACTGGACTAGACCTCGTTGACTAAATTTATAATTTTTTTTAGTTTCCATTAAAAATGTTAGATTCTTTTTTTCTAAGAGGTCAAATATATAAGAACTTTCATTGAACATATTGAATGATTTATGTTCACCAAACATGTGTGATCACAATGAACTCAATTTTCTTGTATAAATTTTAAGTGAATATGCAATTTTCTCACTTACGATTTTCTTTTAAGATAACACTTAGGGCTCGTTTGGGAGTGCTTTTGAAGCAACGAAAAGCGCTTCTGTCTTTTAAAATAGTGTTTGGCAAAAATTGCAAAGGCGCTTTGGGTGAGATCCAAAAGCACTTGGAGTGGTTTTGGAAGAAGCACTTGAGAGGTGCTTCTTCTTAAAAGCGTTGCAGGACAAAAACAAGGAAAGCACTTGGCTCCCTTTAATGAAACTTTTAAGATGCCAAAAATACTCATATTTAATTTTTTTTAAATGCCAAGATACCCTTTCTTTATTTTTTTTCTCTCCTATTAAAACCAAAACACTACCCTCGAAAAGGTCAACAGACGCCAAAACACCCATGGAAACCTTTAAGCTTCTATTAATCCATCACTATCTTTACATTTCACAACTTTTTTAAGCCATGTTTTTATTTTGGAATCCTGTTAATTTTTATTTCCTATGTTTATTATAATATTTTGGGAAAGCACTTTTAAATGTGACATTCAAACGACAAACTGCTTCTTTGTAGAAGCGCTTATGTCATAAGTGCTACTGGCATAAGCGCTACTGACATAAGCGCTTCGAGAAGAAGCACTCCCAAACGAACCCTAAGCACGCTTGCTCATATTCGATTTCATAAACCTATTTTTACGTCCTTATAATAATAAATTTCTAATTCCACCACTGATCATCCTAAAAAACCCCCCCCCAAAAAAAACATGTGATTATTAGACATGTCTAATAACACTAAATTCAAATAATTATTGAATGAATATGATGTAAAAATATGAAATGCTGATGGTGGAGTTTATAGGACGTACACCACGCGGCGACCCTCCTCGGTGGTACCCAACCCACGACTCCAGCTGCCATGTCCTTACCCATTTTTCGACACTTGAACTTGTGTCGTTTTTGGCCCTTATGACTTCTTTCTTGTGGCCCCATGCCTCATCATCAACTTTATCAATCAATCAACACCCTTTAGTTACACATCAAACCATTGTGATTTGGCATTATATTTTATAGGCTCACTGTTCATCACCCTAATAATGTAGAGAGATTTCCATTTAATGGGGATATCGCTTTTTGTTATTACAGCTAATAACGCAATGATACGCAGAATAATTTTTTACATGTCATTATATTATTGGTTGAAAATAAGAAAACAGTCCTACCTCTGTTACAAAAAAAAAAATTATGCTAATGATGGTCTCAAACTTTCTCATCCAATCACAAAAGATTGGATTAATTTTCTCTTTTTCTACTCAAAATCATAGACCTTTTCTCACCGACTTCTACGTTAACGCTACTTGAGTTGGAACTCTCATATTTTGCTTATCGATATTTGAGCCACATTATTATAAATTATTGGTTTTCATAGAGAAATGCTCTTTTACCTTTTACCATATAATAAATATGTTATTTGGCAAAAGGAGGTTGTTATTTGTCACATCGAAAATTTTATCATCCGGTGATCAAAAGTACAATTTATTTGTTATATTTCTCTTACATTTCTAAATGGGATGAAAACATAATGATCCGTTTTGATGAGTGCTAATAACAATTCTTTCAAAATTGTGAATTAAGATTGCAGTTTCGAATGCAGTTTTCTCTGATTGATAATATCATTATACAGTCGAATAACATAATATGTCGGTAAAAGAGATCTATCATAATGTTATAATGTTATTATATAAGATGCTAAATTGTCTAATAAAATATTGTGAATCCTGTATCCAAATAACTTCCAACTTCCAACTTCCAATATACCAAACATGAGCTTGAAAAAAGTGGGGAATGAGAGAAGAAGACCCATCTCTGTTTTGGTCCGACAAGATAAAAAGATAAGGTCATAAAGGTCTGGCTATCTCTTTATAAACTGTATATTTCATTTGTCCAAAAGAGTACTAGGTGAAAAGTCAATAATGGGCTTGTGTAGGGTAGGGTTGTTATTATCCACTAGGGTTCTCGTGGCAGTAAAAGGTTGGGAGTTATTTTGGAGGGCCCACAAGGAAGGACTGCCTGTCCCACGTGGCGCAAATCTGTAACTCTCTTCGCCAGGTCGTTGAAGGAAGAAAGAGAGAAAGAAAACCAAAAATAAAAATAGAAACAGAGAGAGATCGTAGGCTGAGACACCGAAGGAGAAAATCATACCAAATATAATAATTACATTATAATTAATTAATTTAATTTAATAAAAACTTCGAAATTTCGAATTGGGCAGGCGTCCTTTTTGGCTTATAAATTGGGTGGGAGCGACGGTTTCGTTTTTACTCAATAGCGCTTTGATCTTTCACGTGTCTCTCCCTTTCTCTCCGTTTTTTCTATTCGATTTGCTCTGTCTGTATCGCGCCTTCCGTTTTGTTTCTTAGCACAAACAAATTCTGTAGCGGTTTCCTGTTTGCTAAGCTTCGCTTGACGGTGCTTCGGTTCATTATAATTATATATACACATCAATATTCACAGCACTCTGCTGAGATATAAAACAGAGAGGCTTTCAAGGTTTATATAACGATACAGGGAGAGAAATGGAGGGGAGAAAGCAAGTTGGGTCGTCTTCTTCCTTTACTTCTGAGCTTTTCGGGTCCAAGGAGTCGTCATCTTCATCTGGGATTTTCGGGGCTATATTTGCGCCTTCCTCCAAGGAACTGGTATTGCTTTTCCCCTGTTCAAGTTCTTGTCTTTTTATTGTTTTCTGAATCTCTGAAATCTTTATCTGTTTTTATTTTTATTTTTGTCTTCAATTATTTTATTGTGTTTTGATTGCTATCTTAGCATTTTACGGTATTGCTTTGGATTTTGAGGGTTCTTGACTGTTTTCTGTTTAATGGTATTGGAGTTCTAATGTTGTCCCTTTTTTTCTTAATTGAATATAGGTTAAAGCTGTCGCCTTTTGTTTGATTTTATATTGTTGGGTGCCTGTTTTTGCATTTCTGCTCGTAAAATCTTCCTGGGGTTTATCTATATATATATTATTTATTTTTTTCCGAAATTTGGTGAAGGCCTTCAATCGTCGTCTACAAGTTCATATTTGCTGAATTGGGAGATTTCTGTCTGATATTATAAAAAAAGAAGAAGTGGATTTGCATCATCAAGACTAGATTTTTATTTATTTATAGTGAGAGATTGCATTAGCTCTTTTAACGAAGGGCTTTAGAATTCTATAATGCTGGGATATGTTTGTTCTTTGGAAAATATTTTGTTTCATCTCCCCTCTGAGCTTTTAAACCATATTTTACAATAAACTCGCAACTTCTTTTGCAAATTAAATTTAAAAACTTTTTTTATTGGAATCTCTCTCTCTCTGGCTGACCTTTACTAGAATCTGTAAAGTGTATGTGTATATTTATTTATTTTATGTTGTACCAAGTTCTGAGAGAAAGTTGTCTTCCTGTTCATGAAGGTGTTAGGGAGGGAATCTCTGCGTTCTGAAGTCACTGGGAAAAAGCTTACGGATGAACCATTGCACGTCAAACCTGGAGAGCCAGGTTTGTAAGGTTTTTCTATCTTGTATAACTGTTGGTTTTCTTATGGCCAAAGCTTGTATCTGTTACAATCTTGTTTAGATTGCTTCTCGCTGCATGTCAGCCATGAAAGGTGGTGGTCCTTTCTTCACTGATGTGGATCTTATGCATATTCCTCCTTTGATTTTTTTTTTCCCCCAAATAAAAGATGTATCTTTCGGTTGTCCTGGTTTTTTTTTTAATCATATGATTCCTGGTTTTATTGACCGGTTAAGAGATGAATTGTGTTGTGCGTTTGAAAATTGTCTGCTTCTGTTACTCTGATGTTGCTGCAGTTGGTGACTCTAATGGCAGTGAAGGTGAGAGTCAGAGCATCCCAAATAAGGACATGAGTTCCTTCTATCAGGATCAGAGAGTACAGCAACCATGTCACCTCAGCTCTTCAATCTATTATGGTGGCCAAGATATTTATTCTTACCCCCCGAGTACCCAGAGCCCTGGATTTAACTCTATGGTGAGAATTTTTGTTTGTTTTGCTTTTTGTTTTTTCCTCCTCAAAATTTGTTGGTTTTACCATCTGACTCTGTGAATAAGATTCTTTAAAAATTTCCCCAGGAATAATGCAAACACAGTGTGTGAACATTGGACATGAGATAGTTTCCTCTCTCTCTCTCTCTCTCTCTCTCTCGTATCCTGGAAATTCCAGTAGATTATGGTTGATCTTAATTCCGGAGCCTGATAATTATATTTTATGATTATTTCAGTACAAGAAAGATGGGACTGAAGATGATTCTGGGAGTGCTTGTAGAGGAAACTGGTGGCAAGGTATGATATTTTCAACTTCTGTACAGGAGGTGCATGAACTGCCTTACTGGGACTCTGTATGTACTATTCTGACACTGTTTTTTCTTATGAATTTTTTCATCTGTAGGGTCTCTCTATTATTAAGGGCTCACTTGCCGAGGCATATACTCATCAAGGTATATTATTTCTAAGTTTCTGAAACATTACTAGGAATAGTAGATACACTTCTTGTCGGTGGCATCTACTTTTTTCTTCTCTTTTTTACTTCCACCTCAATTTTATTTGGATATGGTTTACTAATTAAGCATCTGTTTGTGTATATGCTTTGCAGATATATAGGATATAGGGTACGTAGCAGCAGCGGATCGTTGTGTGCAGCTGGTTTGTTTTGCTCCAGTCCAGCCCAACAACAGTCATATGAAACCATAGTTCTCTATATATATATATGCATCTTATTTAGTATCGGTGTAAAGAATGATGAAGTGGTCTCCTTATGTAAAGGATGTTTGGTCTAGTGACTTGTCCTTCAACTACTGCTAATGTGGTTGAAGATTTGGATATGAGTAATTTAGCTGTGTTTAATATATAATATATGTATGTTTGAACTCGTAATTGCATGTTTTCTTTAGCTCTATTATTGGTTTTTCTGTTATGTTTTCCCATGGATGGATGGATGGTTTGCATTGTAATTCTTTGGTCCATCAAATTCGTTACCTGAGACAGAATCTAATTGATGGCATGCATCAAAATCTGGAAGTTAGTCATGCTGTTGTCATCTTTCAGAGACGTTGTATGTGGACTACAAAACGTGTGGTTCTAATTTACAGTGTTGGAATATAAAATCTGATAAGAGAATGTTACCCTATCTTCACGTTCTCTCTTGCTGCACAAGTCTAAGATGTCTTTTATTCTTTTTTGGTTCATCCATTTTTTCTTCTCTCTTCTTTCTTTTTCGGATTTTCCATGTTGATGCCCTAGTTGAACACTGCTTCTTCTTATGCGCCCGTGACCTGGTCAAACAAACACATGGATGTTTGGATTTATGCCTTTGGCCCTCAAAACAGTCAAAAAAGTTGTTCTTGTTTATGACATTGCCCTTCAGTTTCCTCCTTACCTCAAAATTTTAGATTCCATAGTTAGTGCCACGTCCTAGAAACTAACAAATCTCTCTTCAAAGACAGTGTGGCCCATCAACCAGAATTATATATCTTTATATCTATCAATCTGCTTTTGATTTTTGGGTCGAGGTTAATTATTCCCTATCCAAACATGACCTTACAGGTTAAAAGCAGTCCTTATCCCATGTCTGGTAGGATATTTGCTTTCCACGGTCGTTAAGGAAGATTTCTTGCTGCTGCTGGTGTGGATGGATGGAGATTCTTCAGCCACGCTTTTACAAAGTAAATGGATCATCTGATTTTGATGTTTACAATGAATGTTTGTCTCCAATGGTCCAATCATTCATTTCAAACCTTAGAACATACCGCTTGTTGGGTCCCACCCAGTAACCGGGGGGGTACAAATTCCTTGCCTTTTTAGCAAAATAATTATTGGGTTTCTGCGCAATTATTGATAACACACATGCAATTGTCACACTGAAATTTGCACTAATGTTTTTTTAATTATTATTATCCAAGAAGGATACAATACATACATGCTACAATTATAAGCTACTAGCTTTTTATTGCCAAATCACAAGCAGTAATCTCCTATTTACTGATGCTAGTAGCCTTCACCTTCTCTTTATGTCCACTCATGGCAGTGTGTAAGCTGCAACATTAGCATTATTATTGCATTAGAACATTAGCCACAAAATAATATAAAATAAAATAAAAATACTTGGCCTTGTACATGTAACGAGTCAATTCTTTTTTACAGACAAATCACAGTTACTTACGTCCACATTTGTAGCCAACAGGGCGGTTGGCAAAGTTGCAGCGTTTGGGAATGGTAATGGCAACCTCAGCCTTGACACCAGAGTTCTTGGCAGTGTCAGAGAGCAGAACAGCACAGAGGCAGCTAGGGTTTTGGCCCAATCTCTTCACCTGCTGGCAGCAGCCACTGGAAACAGGAGCGTTTGCATCTTGTGCAGCACTTGCACAAGGAGCAAGCTTGATGGCCTCATCATCTGGGCTAGTTTTTCCACATGCGCTAGCCCCATCAACCCTTTCAAGGCAGCTAGTACATATAACTGCAACCAATCCCAGAATGCAAATGAATTTCATTGGAGCCTCCATTTTTGTTTTTTTGTGCCTCACAAGTTCACAATTCACAAACTGGAAGTTTAGTCAAGTGTTCTCTAGCTCTCACAATGCCACAATGCAAAAATCTGATTATAGGATCAGCCTTTTTATACTTGAATCAGAGCAGAAAATGTGGGTTTTCCATTCATCCACTTACCCCTAATGGAAGTAGCACTAGAACCAAAACAACTTTTTTATGCAGCACTTTTGGCTACGCAAATTGGTTTGTGCATTATGTGTCTCACCTTAACTCCAGTATTCAATATAAATATAATTTATTTCTTGTCCTCACTCTTCCAGATGTGGCCATTACTGACAGTAAAGAAGCTCAGAGGCCTTGTTGTTAAGACACATCACCCCAATTCTCCAAAACTCCATTGCCGACCTTGGCAAGGCCTCTTCTTATCTGTGAAGACGTGTTACCAACTACCACACTAAGATTAATATTCCACCATGAAATAACTTTTGAGCCACTTAACCAGATAACTCTCTTCTTTGAAATTACAAGAAGGCATAATTTCTGACAGAAGAATTCAATTACAAAGTTGGCCTACCAGATAATATCACTTGCTCTAAGCTCAGAATTAGAGACAACCAACTATGCCAAATAGCCCAAAATGAGATGAGAAAATATAGCTCTAAGTTCTTGCTTGCTTCTCTGCTGTTGTATACATCCCCATTAAAAAGAATTGGTTTGTTTCTGTGGACATGTACTAGGATTTCAGTATTGTGTGTTATTATAGTTATAACAACAACCTAAAAATTCAATGGCCCTCAGGCAAAGTCGTGGGTTCGAGTCCTAGCATCTGTATAGTGTACGTGAGTTTAGTATAGCGCTCCTCTTAATAAGAAAGGTTCTAAAAAAATTAAAAATTAATTAATGGTCCAGTTTATTTTGTATATTGCACTAGAATTTTCTTTTCTTGGTCTGAAATTGTACTAGAATTTTCAGAACGGTTTTGTTCAGAATATTACAATCAACTTAATTAACGGGTAAAACCCCCTATGCCTCAAAATAGAAGTGTTTTTCTGAAGGACTGATGTGGAAATTCACAACATCGTAGGCAAGGCATACTGAAATATGATTCTACGTTCTTGTTTATAAAGTAGCGTATTGCTTAACGTATCAAATGTGGGCATTTGGTCTAGTGGTATGATTCTCGCTTAGGGTGCGAGAGGTCCCGAGTTCAATTCTCGGAATGCCCCTACTTTTTTCAACATTTTTTGGCATTTCTTCATTTCTTTTGCGGTCTTTGGTTTGGTTGAGAACACTGAACAACACAAAGTTTTTGTAGGATTTCGTGGGAATTATAGCCCATTATCTATGCAGTGTATGATCGCTCATCATGTTTGCTCAGAAACCCAAGTCACGGATATACATAATTCCATTTAAAATTGACTATCTTAGCTCATGCCAAGGGCCCACCAAGTTTAAACACACAGTGCCAAACCAAACCCAAGTCATGAATATTCAGATTCCAGAAATTGCAAGAGAAAAGTCTGCTAATATGCACACTAGAACATATTTGCACTGAATTTTATCAATATCCACTGCATGAGAAGAAAACAATAAGGATTCATATATTCCATCCAAAATAGCGTAGGATTTTCTTAGTTCTCTCTTTACAATCACTCTTTGATCCATGTCAAACAGTGACGCGGG